CTCAAACAATTTGTTAGCAATTGAACAAATACTAACGTAGTCATAAACGTTTAAATCAAACTCTTTCAATAAGTCATTGCGGAACTTTACAAAACCTTCTCTTAAAATTCTTACATCTTGTTTGCAGTAAAACGTGCTATATTTTTCTAAGTCGAAGTGGTTCTCATCTATTCTGCAACCTTTGATGGAATCTATGTTTTTTCATAAATGTATCTGCATCCCGGATAAACTTACATGCTTCAGAAATGACACCAGTTCTGTTGTCATTTGCTAACAAAACACTGCTGTAGTAGTTATATGGAAATACTTCTTTCGGTCCTGTTTGTAAGTTAAACATAGCAGGAAATAGTTTAAGCTTCTTATTTATAACACTGTAAGAGTCTTTTATAATAATTGCCCGTCCTTTATATAAACCAGTTATTTGCATTGTTCGTGAACCTTTAATGATGGGAGTTCCTTTCACTTCTGTCATGTGTCTTAAGATGAAGTTTATGTCATAACTGAGGTTGTGAAAATATATTAAACTCTTGTCAGGGAGTCGTTCCAAAAATTCTGTTGCACAGTTCTGACCCCATATGCTTTCACTCACTGAACCATCTTCACTGTCGTAACATATGTTAAAAGCTTTATGAAAGCCATCAGTACTGCACTCAAAGTCAGCAAAGAAAACGTGCTCAGGAATGAACTTACATTTAGCTTTATTTACTTCTTTTGACTCTGCTTTCTTCTTCAGTTGTACACAATACTTTGGAGCATATGTCAAATCTTTAAATGGTGCAAGGTTCTGTTTATATAAGTCAGTAGTATATGTGAAAAGTTCTCCATAAGAAATAGGTTCAAAATATTTGCACTCCCACAATGTTTTCAATAACATCCCATAACGGTGTTGTTCTATCATAACGAACTACATATTTATCTTCTCTCTTTGTATAAATCTTCATTTGTTTCTCAATGTTCATTCCACCACAAGCTTTGAGAATTTCTATATAGTTGTGAATGAAATATGTTGTCATTGGTAATCTTTCGTTTAGCATGTAGTGGTCTTCAACAAGAAGTAAGTCAATAGTTCTAACAGTTTCACATTCTTTTGGTATGTATCTCTTTATTTCATTATGTCTTGAGTCATTGAAATAACCAATGGTAACATTAAATGCTATAACCTGTTGCGTCAGAAATTTCTTGTACTTTACTTTGAGGAAAGTCTCTAACACGAATGACTTCTCTCATGTGGTCAATAGTTTCTTCATTTACTCCAGCCTGAATGCAAGCATAAACGAAGCAGTTATCTTCTGTCATAAGTGTTGCAGTTCTTTTGTTCAGTTCATTGAAGATTTGGTAGCGTTCAAGATTTATAGGTAATGTGCAAAGATACTTCCAGAACTGACCGCTTCTCTTCTTATAAAACTTCTTTTCACCATTATCTTTCCAAAAGCTTTCTATAAGTGCTGGTTTCCTGTTTGCTTAAGAGCTTCCAAAATGGCTTTCTGGTCATTTGTCAGTGTGCTTTCATCTCTATATGGTCTCTTTTTTGGTTTGCCTTTCTTTACATCTGACATCGTTAAGCCTTCATATTCTGTTAAATCATACATCTTTATTTCAGTAAGATTCTTTATGTTTGTCAAGAAGAAGTCATAGTGCATTTCAACAATACCTGCAGCATTTGCTTCTATCTCTGATATAAAGTTCTCCTTCAAGAGCTGATGTAGTAATGTTCCAATATTATTGAGGTTTAACGTAGAACATTCATACTTTCCACCAAGTTTATAACATACCATCCATCTTTGTTGTGAGTTTATTTTAATTTTCTCTAAGAGTCTCATGAAAACCTTACCGAAATGTTTGTGTAAGTAGTCTCTGTTTGGTTCATCTAAAGCTTCGATGTTAAAGTCAATGAGTCTATTGCCTGACTTCACATTTCTCTTCCTATTCTCTTCATCTTTCTTTAACCATCTCTCACCTTCTTTTGGTTTGTCGTCAATGGAACGAATGACATTATTAGCTTTGCGAACTTGTTCTATAGCACTTTTAAACATCTCTCTTCTCTGTTGTTTCAGTGTGTCGTCTCTTCTTCTTGTTTCACCAACGTTCGCATTTGTTATGTCAAACATCTCACGCCTTACTTCATGAGGTATTGAACGTCTATGATATAAGTCAATAGCAACGTCATTTAAAGGAAATGCTATTGCATGGACTTCGTCCTCGCCGCGTTGCGGCTTTATGAACTCATGAATTCTATCATAACTTATTGCACCATTATAGTCTTTAATGAAGTCAGCGAGTGCTTTTTTGTTTGTTGCGTAATGCTTTGCTACTTCTATATTAGCTTCTGTAAGAAGTTGTTTTATTTCCGAGTGTTCTAACTTAGACAACTTCCGATACATCTTTAGTAGGAAATAAAAAAAATTTTTTTGAAAAATTAGATTAGATTTTTTTTAAGTTATTTTTCAAAATAATTTAATATTTTTATTTTAATGAAACACATGCAAGATTGCAAGTTCTTTTCATACAATGCTCTCGCTACTGCCATCAAGAATGAGTTCAATGGTGCTTCAAACGTTAATGTTATCTTTAACAAGAAGTTTGTGAAAGAATCTAAGTTTGGTCAGTATGTCAGACCATTAGCTATTGTCATTGACCGCAAACGTTATACTTCACAAGAGTTAGCAGTAGTTTTGAAACAAAAGAGTATCTTCGTGAATGTCAAAGATACTCATTATACTGTTATAAAGAACTCTAACATTGACTTCTTCAGTATTGCTATGAATCTTTCCGAACAGAAAGAATATAAGAAGGGTGAAACAAATGTGAAATATTATCCTTCATCTCTGAAGACAATAACGAACAAAGATGTTATACAGAAATTCTTACCAAAGGTTGAAGAAGCTTCAATTGACATTGACGAAGGAAGTGAAATGGTTGAAGAAATTGACCCTGAAGCTATTTAAGCAAAAATATATTTTTGGTTAGTCTTCATATCGATATTTTACAACAATTCCCCAATGTATAAACTTTTCATACGCTTTTTCATAAGCTTTATATACCTTCAGAAATTTTGCATAATCTTTAGAAGCATTTAGATATTGTTTAAATGCTTTGTATGTCTTCAGAAATTTTGCATAATCTTTTACATGTTGTTCGTTCTCTTCTTCTGTCATGAGTTCCGAATATTCTAAATTCATGTTCTTTCATATGAGATAAAATTTTATAAAAAAAATAAAATTAGCTTAGATTTTTTTATTCTTCCTCTTTGAAGTTATCGAAATATTCTGTTATTTTTTCCTTCAGTAATGGTAAGTCTTCTTTGAATGTAAGTATTGTGCAACCTTTGATGTCATAGTGTGTTTGAGGAAGAGTACTTTTGACAATTTCCTTTATTTGCTCATTCGGTGTCATTGAAATCGGTAAGTTTTCACGATAGAACCAGTTTCTGTCAGATTTGTAAATCTTAGCAAGGTCATAAAAGCTTTTGTTGTTTCTTCTGACTAAATGCAACATAACCATATCTCTGTCTTCTTCTTTCTCCAACTCTTCAGTATAAATCATATACTTATAGTTCTTTTCCTTTCCTTTTGGTACTGAACGCGGTATTCTTTTCTGTATGCTTTTGTCTTTGGATTCAATGACTTCATCTTTTGCTTGAAGTTTCTTTTCCATCTCTCCACGTTCTTGTCTGTGAAGTTCGTCAAGAAGTTTGTAAATATTCCAAGCATAACGTGGTGAAGCCCACATTGCAACTGCATTTACTAAAAGTCTATGAACATAATATCCTCTCAAACCGTTTGGCAATTTTTCACGGTTTTCATAGAGTTTTGGCGACTGGGATTTTTTACCTACTCGCTGTTCTTCACTGTTTTCAGAAAAAAGTACGTCTCGCTGTGCTTCACTTAATAGTTCTATGGTGCTTTGGTTCCTAAACCAGTCTTTAGGAAGCTTAGTATCTGGAGCAAAACAAGCCGTCAAAATACTTTGCATTTGGTACATGTCGTCTTTGACAGAACGAATGAGTCTCAATTGTTTGTTATACTGTATGTATTCGTATTCTTCATTTATGACTTCATGAACGATAGCAGTTGTTGTGTTCTCTAATGTTGACATTACTGTCTTTACATACAAAATAAAAAAATAAATAAAAATAAAAACTAACTTTATTTTTTCTGAGATAAACACTATTTCTTCACAACATTAAATTTTATCCTGTATGAAATGACTTTAAAAAGATTATTGACTGACTTCGAATACTATCTCATTGACGCACTGACAGACCCTCAAAACTGTGTTGAAAGTTCTTTAAGCTTTAAGATTGAAGGTACGACGCATTTTGTCTTCACTTACGTATTGAAAGAATATGACCGTTATCATAACGAAGTGAATCAAACACTAATAAAATTTGTAGATAAAAAATTGGTTAACAATGAATATTTTAAACGTGAAGACCCAAACACTGCTGGAGATGATGAAGAATACAGACAAGTTATTGAAAAAAATAACGCAAGATTAGATGCAATAGAAAAGAAGTTTAATGAATGTCTTACAAACACGTATGAATATCTTATGCAGTGGGAAGCCAGATGGAAATAAATTTACGTCAAATATGCAATTTATAAAATCTTATGTCGACAGGCTACGTAGCACAGTGGTCTAAGGTGGTGTTATGGAGGGGTCAGGGTCTGTGGTTCGAACCGCGACAGCGCCGTATTTTCTTATTTTCTTTGTTTGTCTTGTTTGTCGTGAATAAAAAGTGTCATAAAAGTGCTCTATCTTCCACGGGAATAAATAAAAAATTTACTTTATTTCTTCTTTATTTCTTCTTTATTTCTTTGTTCCCGTGGAAGAAGGGTTTTTGCCGTTTTTTCTCAGCCGAAATCAACGATTTTTTCATTTTTGGAATCCTTAGCGAATGAGGAATCTTTTCTCTCGTGGAAGCTTTGAACAAAAATATAATTTAGGTGAAGTGGTGAGATGTCACCTGTTTTTTCACCTCTTTTTTCACCCCAGTTTTTTCACAAGCGTTTTACATGAATTGTACGATGTATATTTGAAATCCTAAACAATTTCGTAGCTTCTATTTCTTCTGTCAGTATGTCAAAAGTTTTAACAATACCGAAGGTTTCTTTATACTTCTTCTTGACGTCAGATAGAAGGAAATCTTCTGCTGTTGGATAGTTTTTGTTCAGAAATTCTAACATGTTCATTTTATCTTCTGCTGGCTTTTCTGCTTCTTTCTTTAAGTCTGCATAGTCGTTTCTCATTCTTTCTATCTCTTTGACTGAGTAGTTATATTTCCTAATTGCTGCCTTACATTTTGAACATTGCGGGTTCATTTTTGCGTTATACATTGAAATAAAACCAGCTAAAACAACTAAGGTGTCAATTGCTCTCTTCATCTCAAACATAGCGGGTCTTATTTGTTCGTTCCATACTTTGCCTCTTCTATCTTTATCTCTTATTTCCCAAACACATTTTGCAACTAATGAAACAAAGTTATCGTAAGTCTTAAACTCCTCAGATTTATATATGTCAGAAATGTTTTTATATACCATGTCGCAATCTTTGTCCATAACCTTATGGTTGCAATGAAAACCAAGGAATTCATAATTTACCTTTCGTATGAACTTCTTAATTTCTACTGAGTCAGTTGGTTTCACTTCAATTTCGTCGAATTCAGGAATAGTGAGTTTTTGTTGTTGGATTTCAGGTAGTTTAGGCAAATGGTCAATAATGTCCTGCATTTCATAAAGATACTGTTCATTTGTTTCATCTTTCGCACTACAGTCTAAATTACTTGTTAAAAGTTCTTGCTTTATCTTCTGGATTTTTGTTTCGAAAGTATATGAAGAAGGAATGAAGTTTTTCATCTCTACTAACATTGACGTAGGATTCATGACTAACGAGTTTGGTGCTGTTGTTGTGGACAGAGTCCCGCCGTTCGCGGCTTGAATTGTTGTTGTGCCGATTGTTGAAATCATATCTTTTATACAAAATAAAAAATAAATAAAAATAAAACTAACTTTATTTTTTATTTCGGGAAAATTCATGAGGTGAGAAAACAGGTGAAAAAACAGGTGACATCTCACCTCTTCACCTATAATATATTTTTGTCTGATTTACATCTAATGAAAAAGTTTAGAAGAATTTTCTTATTCTTTCTGGCATGTTTTTGTCTTTCCAATACTCCCGCTCTAATGGTCCCAGATGAGTTGGTTTAGATTCTCTCAAGTTCTTAGATGGTATAACATCTTCAACGCCTCCTTCATATCTTACTTTATAAGTGTCATCGTTTATGTTGTAGTCAAGTATTTCAATAACCACTCCTCGCTTTGCTTCGTCAATGGTTTCAGCAAGTTTGCCATTACTACTTTCGACTAATTTATGACGAGGGTAAAATGCTATGGAGTCGTCAGCAGCTTTTATAAGATATCCATTACCTTGCGTAGAGTCTACGATATAATAATTTCGACTTAACCTTAAACGTTTCTTTGTCAACGGTTTGTCGTCAAGAACTACACGAACTTTTGTACCAGGAATGAGGGTAAATTTTGTTGAATTTCTGATATTTTGTGTTTGGCTTCGTTTCTTTTGTATATACTTTTCTTCTTGTTGTTGTGTCATTGAATTTGGTGTATGTCCTGTTGTAGAATGTGTTGAGGAATTATATACTTCGAGAAAATGTTTCATTGTTTCTTCGGTAAAGTCTCGCTCTTGGTTTAAATCTCTGAGAGTCCTTATGAAGCGGTTAATGATACCGAGTATGTTATGGTTATGGTCTTCAGTAGTGTAGTGAGTTATGTTATGCTTAATGAGAAATTCTGTGATTTCGTTGCTGAGGTATGCACCGTCTTGGTCTGATGTTAAAATACTTGGGCTATGTTCTGCTACAAACTTTTGTAAAACTCTTAACACTTCATGAGTTCCTTTATTTCTCATTATATACGCAAAAGCTTTGCGAGTGTTAACATTAATGAAGATGAGGAATGGTTTATGTCCTCCTTTTCTGCTTTGAATGAGAGTGTCAAATTGGTATGCGTCAGGAGTGTTGGAGTAAATTGGTAAAAAGTAGTCGTAAGGATTTATTTTTGTTTGATGTACAACATTTTTGTCAAAGAACCTTTTCACTTCAGCTCTGTTAGTAAATCCCGAACTCTTTGCAGCTTCATTGAACTTCTTAAATGACCTCCATGGATGTTGTTCGAATACTTCTTTCAAGCTCATTTATGTAAAGTTAAAGATTTTATTCTAGGCTCAAGTGCGTTCATTGAACGCGGTACCATGCAAATACAGTCACAAATGGTGGCATGTAATCTGCACCCGAGCCTGTTGGATTTGTTGTGAAAGTATGGGCATGATTTCCTGCGGTTCCACAGAAAATACCTGCGCTTGAATCTACTGGGTCACTTGAAATATCATATCTATGCATTCCCTGTCTATCCGAACCTGCTGCAAGATTTGTATAACCTCTTTTTGTTATTGAATGTGAATGACTACCTGTTGTGTTTGTAGTTCCTGTATGAGTGTGCGGTGGAAGGTTTGCTTCAGTAATTTTCTTCGAACCTCCTGTTTGCTTTGAAGAGTTAGCACAGTATAAGAATTTGTCTACAATCTGCTTCCATTCACCAAAACCTAAAACACTTGCTGGATTTGTTGAGTTCATTGACGTATAAATAGAGCCTATAGGATATAATGTTTGAAGTATTTCTGTCTTTAATGTTTGAAGCTCTGTTTTGTCTGCTTTCTTGTCATATAAATCTTGAGCAGTGAATTTAATATTATGTTCATCCTTCATGACATAAACATCTTTACATCTAATGTTTTTCATCGTCGTTATGTCGTCATCCGATGTTAAACCTTGTGGAAAGTTAGGAGGTTTACAATATAATGCATCCCCACCAGTTTCTTCAACCGTTCCTTCAATACTTTCTATAGCAACAGTTGTAAAACTTGTATGTGTATGAGTCTTATTTGCTTTTTTATCTAACATTGCTGGTAGTTCATGTGTTTCAAAGTTTCTGACATGACCTTCGATATTCATACATTTGTTATTTAAGGAGTTTAGTGTATCTTTTACGCTTGTACTTGGATTCTCTAAAGGTGCACTTGAACCAAGGGTATAGTTCAATATTATGTCGTCTGCTCTAACAGTTGAGAAGGAGTTATGTGTATGATTTTTGTCAGCTTTACTGTCTAATGTAGCTTGAAGTTCATTTATATCGGAGATATTGTGTTTATGAGATTTCAAAACTTTGTTCATTGCTTCGAGTTCAACTTTGTCAGCTTTACTTTTAATAGCATCTTCAAACGTTATTTTTGACTTAACTCTCAAAGTAAATCTTGGTTCAACTAATACACCGTTAACATTGAAAGTAGAGGCATAAATTTCACCGGTATAACCAAATGCTTCTGGTGCTTTAGCTACATCATACTGTACAGTACAGCTTATGTCATAACCTTTAGCACGAATGTATTTATATCTTCTTTCATTAACATTTTTTGTCTTCGCTTCATCACTTCGTGTTAAATATCCATGGTAGTCCGTTATAATCTGTTCGTCTGAAGTTATATAATGAACATGGTTCTTGTCCGCTTTACTATTTAATGTAGCTTGAAGTTCATTTATATCGGAGATATTGTGTTTATGTTCTTTATCTGCTTTTTCGGCTAATTTCTCTTCTATCTCATTTATTTCAAGTTCATGCCTACCACCACCTCCCGAAGAAGTATTTTTCTTCAGCTCTTGAAGAACGTCCACTTCGCCATCTTTGGTGTCAATAATGAGACTTTGAGTTAAAACCTTTCCTGTCTTAATGGATGTTTGTAAAACTTCTTCTTCACCGTGTTCGGGGTCATGGTCGTCGTCATATCTTGTGAAATCAGAGATGTTGTCATACATTAAGCATATCTGTCTCAAAAGTTCTGCTATTTGGAATTGGAACGAAAGATATACAGAACTTTCATCATCTCCTAAAGTCAAGTCTGCTTTCTTAAGTATTTCTTGAATGTATGCAATGAGAACAGAGTACCTTGGAAAATATTCGAACAATATTTCATTAGCTGTTGGTTTTGGTGGTTCTTCTGGAGTTTCTGTTGTTTCAGTTCCTTCTGGAGTTTCTGTTGGAGTTTCTGCATCTCTTGACTTCAATGCTCTTGCTCTCAAAGACCTAAATGTTAGAGCACCGGGTTTTACAAAGGACTTTATAAATGCTTTAATAGTTCCTGGTAAGTTATTGTTAGCATTAAGTAAGTTCCTTATGCTTCCATCATGTACGTCCATAGCACTATGTAAAAAATCTATACTTTTCTTGTAGTCAGCAATAGACTGACTGTGATTTTTTAAAGATTTGTCAATACCTTTAAGCCAATCTTCATGCATGTCTGATACTGAGCCAAGAATATCATTTGCTTCCTTTAGTGTATTTTGTGCTTTTCGTAAAGTATCCAATCCCGTACGTGCATTGTTTGCTATACGTCTTACAGTATCTATTTGACTCCTTGTTTCTTGCATCCAACCAGATAAAGTTTTAATAGTATCCGAACCATTTGAAATGAAGTTCAAAGCATTTTTAACATCATCTAAAGCTTCTTCACCAAGTACTGCCCATATCTTTCCGATTTGGTATTGAAGAACTCCATATGAAGCAGCTGTTAAACCAGTATTTATAAGGTCCCATATCCATGATTTAGCAGTTTTTCCATCCTTTCCATCCTTTCCATCCAAACCGTTTTCGCCTTGAGGTCCTTGTATTCCTTGAGGTCCTTGTATTCCTTGAGGTCCTTGTATTCCTTGTGGTCCGGTGTCACCCTTCTCTCCTTTCAGTTCATCTTTATGTTCGTTATAATATTCTAATGTCATAAGGTGTACATCATTACTGCTACCAGCAACTCCTAATATTTGTTTCTCATTCATGACTAAATTCTTTAGGCATTTAATGTTGTCGTCAAATCGAAAGCTCTTTAACAATTCAATGAGAACATTCAGTACTTTCACTAATGAGGCATCTACTGTAGAATTTATATATTGCACCGTTCCATCATTTATGATAGGAACTTTACTTATTGTAATGAATGGGTCATAAGTGTTAAAAGTATCGAAATCAATGACTTTTTAGTTTTTCCATCGTCAATGACTAAATCATTGCCTTCAATGGTTAAAGTTGAGTTTTCGTTTACTAGTTCATGTGCTCTTCTTGCTTCATTTGTTTCATACGCATATGCAGCAATAGTCATATTTTAATGAGAATAAAATGTTGTTCTATTTGCAAAGTACTGACCCAAACGAATACGGAACAGTAAAGCTACAAACAAACTTAGGTCTTCAGAATGAAGCGCTTGCTTTCAGAGTTGTTGACTTCAATACTATCGCAACTTTTGTCATAACAGATGAAACAGATTTCATAGAGTTTGAAATAGATGGAAAGAAGCATGAAATAAGATTTCACAATAATGTAGAATATAAGATGGAAACATTAGCTGGAGTGTTAAATGCGCTCATAAATACTACAATAAACAAGGAGAACGAAGAAAACTTAATGAATGTTAAACTTATTGCAGGAGTTTTGAAGTTCAGTTATGCGAAGGAGTTTAAGATAACACGAATGAGTCATAGAGTTCAATTGCTTCTGGGAGCATACCATATGACATTTCCTTTGAAAAGTATTGACAAAACGATTGAGATGAAATCTGTTCCATACGTATGTTATGGCAATTGTTTATACATTGAGTCTAAAATAGCTAATGTCACAGGCATTTCAGGAGTTAATAGTAAAGGTTCAGTAGAATATAAATCCTTCTGTTATGCAGTCAATTCAATGTTCATTCCAAACGTTCCTGTCATAGCAACTCATTTAGGTAAATGGGTTCGCATTAGTCCTCATAATTTGAAAGACATGCAATTCAGACTAGTTGACTTTCAAGGAGAGCCTGTAGAACTGAAGGCACCAGTGCGAATGACTGTTGAAGTAGACTTTTTAGAAAATATTAAATGCAACAGCTTACAAGAGAACTCAGAGCTAAAAATATAAAGTATGAATGTTATGTATTAGGTCATGAACTTTGGTTGTTGCTGTTTGATGAAACAAATGAGTTAGTTATGTCAGTCAAGAGAACAGAAAAAGGCGTCAAAGGCGCCGAGCGCAAAGCGCTATATTGTGTTAGTGAAAACTGCACCAAGTCAATAAGATTAGGTTTGCATTATGAAGATGAGTTCGATACTGTTGAAGAAGTTTTGGATAGATACTATAAGTTGCTTTAATTTACTAAAACATATTTCAAACAAAGCTTATAGTCAGTAGATAGTTTTGTATACTCGTTCGAATATTTATACTTAAACTCAACTCCTGTAGTTCCTGGTGTTTCAATGATGCGGATGTTACCTATTTTCATGAATATTGGCGTTTGACCACAGCATTCGATTTCAGGGTCGAGATAGTCAATGACACATTGTTTCCCTGTTATTCGTGATATAACATTTTCAAGGTCCTCCTTTGTTAGAATTATTTGGTTCTTACTTATAAGATTTATCAAAAGCTTCTTATCGTCTTTGAGTAAAATTGTTTGGTATAACTGAAGAAGGTAATGGTCTACGTTATCTGAAGGATTTGTTTGAACATTTATGTAAGGGTTGTCGTTGGCTTCTCTTGAAAGAATTTGGTCCAGTGGTGGATACTCTAACTTAACATCTGATGTAGCGTTAGCGTTTGAAGCTGTGTTTAAATTCACGGATTTCAGCTCTGGTTCTTTTTCTTTCAAACACTCTGAACTATAGTTCTTTATGACAATATTGTTTGTCGTTCGTGAGTCAACATTTGATGTTGGTTCAATTGGAACATTAACGGCACCAGCTAAGATGGATTTGCTTCTCATTTCATATAGAATAAAAACCTTTTATATGTATGAAATGAACAATATACTCGACAAGGGTTTGAATGTAAAGCTAACGAATGAAAATATTGTTGAATTCACTGAGACAGGTGCTGTGTATAAAGATGTAGAACTACTGAACAAAAGAGCTAAGGGAAGAAGCAGGAACATGAACAAAGGGTGGAAGCCTATAAAAATTTATGTCAATGATGGCTCAGGAGGTTCAAACATAAAGTATGCAGAAAGTTATAGAGTTTATGCTCTAAAGGTGAAAAGCCTTCATTTAAGAACAGCTATTCTAACACATATCCTCAAAAGTTAACGGATGGGGAAGTGGATGATATGAATGACAGCAAAAATATTAACAGAAATGGCGACAGAGATGCATGGAATTTGTTTACCATCAGTCAATTGAAGGTTAAACTTTAAAACAATGTTGGTCGTTCCCATGGAATATTTTTGACTTTAATGGTATTAGTCATGATATGAATCTCAAGGTATGAACGAGGAGAGATGAGAGACTTATATGCTTCCCAAATTTCTTCAAAAGGTAATGTTATACCTGACTGTTTCCAAATGAGTTCAATGTCATAACGTGAGAAACCTTGAAAGATAACGAAGTCAGTTATGAGACGTTTTATGTTTAAAGCAAGAAAACGCCATGTTTGCATAAGTATTGCTACAGTTAAGTGGTAATGTCTGACTTTAGTTATGATGTTAGCTAATGGTGAGTCAGGCTTTGACACTAAACCTTTTCCGGCGAAGTCGTCACAAACGAGCAGAGTGTTTGAAGGATACTTTTTGAAGGGGTATTTTGAAAGTTTTGACAGAATGTAGTTTGTCAGTCGTTTCATATCGTAAACTCCTGAGTATTGACGTAAGTGGTGTTTGTCAATAATTCTTTCCATCTCTTCTGAAGTCTTTTGCATTCCTGACTGTATAAATTCAACGATGGCATAATATTTCCTCTTACGTCGAATGTAACGTTGAAGAAATTCAATGAGTTCACTGTCTGGAACTTTAACGACAGAGGCTTGAACTTTTGACATAAATGTTTTCGCTGTTGAGTCCATAGAGTCTGAAGTTGCTGATATAATGATTTGGTCATAATATGAGTCATTTCCTAAACGTTCTGTTATGAGTATATGACGAATGAGGTTAAATGTCTTACCTGAACCCATCTTTCCACAATAGAAATAAACACCATTTGAACAGAACTCATAGTCCTTACTGAAAGGAAGAATGAGAGAAGAGTTAAGTTTGTCTGTAGTTTCATTCATGTCTTCATCTACGTCATGTATTAAATGCTTCATTTTATCTCCATTAAAAATGCAAGTCAGAAATATTCAGAACATAGCACCGAGTCTAACTGACAAGAGTATAAAGATATACTATGAACACGTTATGATGAAACCAACCAAAATTCAAGAAAGTCAGTATACTTATGAATATCCAAGACACTGGGTAGAGTATGTAGGAGGTGAGAAAGCTATTGAAATAAGACAAGTTAGAAGTATTCCAGCAGGAAGGACAATATTATTGAAGAACTTTAATGTTTTGAGATATAATGATGAGACAAAGAAGCAAGATAGTTTTCCTATTGCTGTGTATGTGAACCTAGACACAGGAGATGACATGAAAGTTTTTAACACAAAGCTTCAAACGGTAGTGAGAGAACAACTGACTGCGGAAGGGCATCCATTACCTTCAGAAGTTACCATAGCATATAATTTTGAAACAAACTCAATAGATTTTAAAGTCATCTCTGCAAAGAAGTCAGGTTTTACATTTAATGAAGCAGATGTATATTCGAATGAAAACTTCAAAGCTATTGCATGGTTAGATAATGACGATTGCTTTAAGAAAATATTTAAATTCAGTGACTCAAAGATGTCAATAGATGACCTTCGTGGAATGTTACCATCGACGTTTACAGTAGAAGGTTCAGCAGGATTGCTTACAAGATTGTCAATTGGTGGTATTTGGTCTCGTGAGAACATTGTTATAAAATCCAGTATAAGTGAATTTGCTGAAGAATCTATATTATGTCTTTCAAACTACATGTATTCGCCGCCGAAGCATTATAGTATAACAAACTTTGTCAGTAAGTTTAACATAAGACTTGTCGAACCTTCTTCAATGAAAGATGTTGTGCTACCTAAAGATGGAAAGGATGGACTCATTATTGAGATGATTTTAATTGCATATTAAATGAGCTTGTTCTTGAAGGTCATTCATGATGAAATAACTGTTGTAGAAGATGTTAGCAATTGTTCAGACATTTTGAAGCGTATAGATGATATAAGAAAGAAGTTAGATAGACCGCAAAGCGGTGAGGGCGAAGCCCGTGAGAATGTTTATGTTTCATTGACTTTCTCCAGTAAAGAGAACTTTTATGAGATAATATTGAAGAGAGATGATTTTAATATGGTGTAAATGGTAGCTTGGGCAGCTTTAGGCGCAATGGGAACAAAAGCATTAGCATTTGGAGCAAAAGCACTTGGGGCTTATGACGCAGTAAATAAAATGAGTGGAGGAAGAGTTTCGAAGACATTAGATGCAAATAAAGGAAAGATTGGAGGCTGGGTTGCAAAGAAGTTAAGATTAAATAAAATAGGGCTCATAAATAAAGCATCCAATTTGGTTGCGACTGAGTCAGAAAATGCTTTAGGAAAGGACGATGAGTTTGCAAAACATGCAAAAGACTTTAATGACCAGATGAAAGGTGAAACAATGCATTTAAATAGAGTCGATGGAACTAAAGAAAATGTTTCTTCTCCACCAGTAGTTCTTCCGTATGGTCCCTATGGAATGTATGGAAACCCTTACGAAAGACCATTTGACCCATTGACTGGTGGAAGTAACTGGTATCATTACGGACGAAGAAGAAAGACAGTTAAGCTGGAGACAGACGTGAAGAAAGCAACTAAAAAGAAACCAAGGAAGAGAGTTATAAAGTAATGAATTCAACAGACCCAAAGGGTCAGAGCCGCTTTGCGGCTAGGGTGAAAAAAGAGGTGAAAAAAGAGGTGAGATTTCACCACTTCACCTAAATTTATTTTTGCGCTATGTTTTCATACGTGTGAGGGTGGTGATATCATTAATTTTTAAGTTTATTTTATTATTTTACTGAAAATTTTTATTTGGATGTAAATGACGAAAACTATTGAGATAACAAACTACAACGGTCATGAGTTCAAGAATTTGTTCTTCGTTCCTCGTGAAAATACATTCTATCAGATACGAGGGAGAAAGGGTAAAGTTAGTTTGAGCGTTTATGAAGGAATGAAGAATGGAAAGTTTATACAAGCATACGATACAAACGGTAAACGTGTTTCATTAGCTTTGTCAAAACTTACTAACATTCATTTTGACAGTGATTTTGACCTATATGAAGAAGAAAGTGAGTCAGAAGATTATGAGCTGTTATGTGAAGCACAGCAATGGGAGGAGTTGCAATACTTTTGTAAGTGAGAACGTTTATTTTTTACATTAGTGAAGTCGTTTGTGAAAACGTTTATTTTTTCATTAGTGAGGTGAAGTGGTTGGCGGCTTTATAAATATTTAAGGTTAAGTTGGTGTTTGTGTTTGTGTTGTAAAATATACATTAACGGTTTCGTAAAGTGTCAAAACCGCTAAGTTGTGTACGGAGGCGCGCAGTGCCACAGTACACGACTTAGGTATACTAACTGCTATTAAATCATATCCCTTAGCGAGCTTGTATTTTCCAGGTTTGAAATTATATCCCATTTGGTGCTGAACCATAAAGCTAAATAGGTTCGGGTCAGTATTTCCTTCCTTGAACTTTCTAATAGCTTCTTTATATCTGTCACTAAAGTCAAGAGTATCTGGGTAACCATAATTTTCCTTAAGCATTTTTAAGAATTCTTGGTTTCCTTGTTCTCTACTTCTTTTATGTCCTTGCTCTGTTTGTGGTTGTTGCTGTGCAGTGTTTTGAACTGTTGGTTGTGGTGTAGTGTTTTGAACTGTTGGTTGCTGTGCAGTGTTTTGAACTGTTGGTTGTGGTGTAGTGTTTTGAACTGTTGGTTGTGGTGTAGTGTTTTGAACTGTTGGTTGTGGTGCAGTGTTTTGAACTGTTGGTTGTGGTGCAGTGTTTTGAACTGTTGGTTGTTGTGTTGGTTTTGGTGCATGCCTGTGTCTG